TATCATCGTCAAGGAAGAGGAGATCTGTTCCAGCAAAATCTGTAGGTTAATTTATTGCAAACACTGCTAATTTCAGCAGGGCATGTTCCCTGCTATGTTATGTTTAAGAATACAGATCGGTCTGATTCACACATTGTTCTAAGCCACAGTGTGGGTTCTTGGCTTTGGCTTTTTGAGTGCTGTATTAACTAGACATTATAGTTTGCAAAGCATGGTTTATGTTTCAGCATATATGTGAATCCAATCACTATTTCCTGTTTGTGGTACTTTGGGAACCACCAGAAAGCCCAAAGTTGAAGGATAAGATGTCATTGTAAGGAAATGGAGAAAAAAACATGTTTTGCATTACTTTTAAATGACAGTACACATCTTTTTGTTTTTAACTCTGCAGAGAGAATTATTGCCCCTCTAACCCCAGGCATCATCCTCTGTGTCCATTGGTCAAGCATGACCTGGGTCAAAACTGAGCATAGCAAAATAGCAAAATGTGCTTATTCTGAAATTATTATTTTTTTCTGCTTACACGTATTTTTCTAGTCTTCCCCTGGGACTTACTCCAATGGTTTTTAAACTGTGAGAGGTTTGCAAGAAAGCCTACCTAGCGGATATTTTCTTATATTTAATGCAACAATTATATGTTAGCACTGTTTATTTAGGAATTCTTTGAAAAGAGTTCAGTTTCTGGGTAGTTACATTTAAACTGTCTTTCAGGTTGTCTTTCAATGATTCCCCACCACCCTTTTGGAAAGCTGTACATCTGCCGATAACTGAAGTCTAACATGTAATCCAATACTTTAATTATTTGGCAAGTACAAGATCAAAGCAAATTTTATTACTGATATTCCAGTGTATAAATTAACTATTTAACATCATTTCTTTAAAGCATTTTTAAAGTCAGTTTTGAAAATGTAAGTTAAAAGACATAATGCTGTGTCTACTTAGGTTGATGTTTTTTGTGATGATTTTGATAATGGATACAATAAAGAAAAAGCTAGTCCAAAACCAATTCTTTGTTTTGAAGACCCAGGAAACAGCTCAGCTCTTTTTGGACCACATCTTTAGATACAGAAGATTGGTCAATCATGTGATCTCAGACAGAGGAAGTAAGTTCACTTCCAAATTTTGGAAGGCCCTCTTGCACTTATTAAATATTAACATTAATTTGTCTTCCTCACATCATCCAGAATCCAATGGAGAATCTGAGAAGGTTAATCAACTGTTGTAGCAATATTTAAGATGCTATATTACATACCAGCAAGACAACTAGACTGATCTCATACCTCTTGCTGAATTTGCTTACAACAAAACAGCACACTCCTCTATCAGTATGTCCCCATTCCAGGTAACTTACAGATTCCACCCACGGGTCTTACCAACAACCAGGCAAGGAAGTGCCATTCCTTGCGCTGCAGAAAGGCAAGTAGCCCATAGCCTCTTAAAGGAACAGCTAGAACTAGCAAAGGCCGTGTTCAAAAAAACAGCAGATGCATGCAGATAAGAGGAAGCTAGAATTATAGAAGGGGATTTGTGTGGCTTTCTACAAAATTTCTGACTTCGGCAAGGCCTTCCAAGAAATTAGATTTGAAATGTATTGGCCCTTTCCCAGGGATTAAGCAAATAAACCCAGTAGCATTCCATTTGCAAATGCCAGCATCAATGAAGGTTCACCCTGTATTCCACTGGTCCTTGCTAGTGAAAGAGGCACCTCCCTGTACTCTGATAAATGTTCACAGGCAGCACCCCCCTCCCATACTGATAAATGTGGGGGAAGAGTATGAGGTGAAAGTGGTGCTAGACTTTAGATGCAGAGGGAAGTGGGTTGAATACTTGATGCATTGGAAAGGCTACCCAAAGTCAGAGAGGTCATGGGAGGCAGCAGTGGATGTGCATGCACCACAATTGGTACACCATTTTCATGATCAATACCTCTGTCATGATCAATTTCATGATCAAACCCTGTCCTCAACAACTACGAACCTTGCAGGAGTTTGATGCTGACCAAAATGAACAGAAAGGGTTCTTTTATGGGGTGAAGGGCACCTCAGGGATAGCAAGAAACCAAGTAGGGGGCATGGGAAATGGCCAGCTCTTTCCACATCAGATATCCAGGACATGGGGGGGGGGGAGACCAACAGATTCCTGATGGAGGGGCAGTGCTCACCTCTACAGGTGCAGCTGAGTTACAGGATACCTCATGTGAACTTGGAGGGTTACCAGCAGAAGTGGGGAGCAACACAATTACATTTTGTTCTCACAGCCCACAATCAGTTTCCCCTGTAAACTCGGGAGGGGAGGATGAGTCTGAAGGGGAAGGTGTTGTAATGGTATGTGGGAAAGACCTTGGGAGACTGGGCAAAGCGACACTGCCGAGGGAATGGTCAGATAAGAGACAGCATAGCCTGCAACTGGATAGTGGGCAGGGCAAGCGGTTCAGAAGAAACCCTCTCTAGTTTCTCGGGCTATAAAGGAGATGTGGGGGGGGGGGAGAATTGTACTTTCAGACTTGCAAGATTCTGTCAGTGTAGCTTTATAATAAAGTAGAATTAAGTCATCTGACTGTGATCCCTATCTGGTTTACCCCACAAGGCTGACAATACCTTACATTAAAGAAATGGATAGAGGGAAGGAGGAATACAATCAGAGTCAATTTTATTATGTTCTGGAACATCTTTCTTGAATGCACAGTAATGCGGGCATGGTATTGCATTGGAAAGGAAAGCCCAGGAAAGATATAGAGATGTTTCTGTTCAACTTTTTGATCACATTTGCCATGCTTTTCAGTACCCACATGAAACAGCTGGACTTACTCATGCAGATGACACAGAGCTCTACCTTTCTTTTCCATCTTCTAATCCTGAAAAACTGTTGAAAAATGTGAAAAACTATCTGGAGGTAATTACAAGTTGAATAAGTCAAAATTCTCCAGGCAATACATTTTGGAGGAAGGGTAGATATTTCTGTATCTGTGAGTAGAATTGGTGTGTGATAGAGCTGGACCTCGCCTACAAGTTCAGGCATGAGTTTGGGAATTACTCCTTGACTATTATCTATGGAGATGCAGGTGTTACTAATGGCCAGACAAAGTGTGCTTTTTGCCATATTCCTCTGGTCTGACAACTGAACCTTAAACTGATCTTGCCCCAGTGAAACATGGCTTAGTCACATCAAGATTAAGTTCTTGCAATGTGTTCTATGCTGTGTTCCCCATAAAGACAGTCTGGAAACTTGAACTGCTGAAGAAAACCCTATTTATAAAGTTTATAGAGGTTAAGCCAGGAATACCTGCGAATACTAATATGTTACTCACGTCTCCCTTGGCATCTGGCAGGCAACTGGAGGATTAGCCAAATATGGTAAAATAAATAAATAAATATCATCTCATTCTAAAGTATCAGTTGAAGAAATAGCCATTTAATTTTTTAAAGTCCAGTCTTTCCCAACCCAATATTTTCCAGATATGTGGAACTATAACTGTCTTTGTATCCAGTCATATTATACTCTAGCATATCTGGAGGATGTCAAGGTAGGAAAGACTGCTATAGATAATAAGCTAAAGATGATCCTATAACCTGTATCAGTAGACACTCCTAGAGCTACCTGAAGCTGCTTGATTAATGAGCTTTGACAGCTGGTAATAACTCTCCTGCCAACATCTTGGCACCTCATTTACTGGACAGAAGAAGGAAGACAGTCATTTCAGTTTTTCAAAGTGTTTGGCATTTTTAAAAGAAATATTTTGAGTGTCCTACTGATGTTATCTATATTGACGTGGCTGAGTTGGCACCTGCAAACAACATTTGCCAACCTCTCTTAAAGACAATAGCAGTCAATTTCAAACAGATTTATGAGGAATTAGGAAGTAACCACACTGATAGTTTAGAACTGCTGTCAAAATAATATGCAAGTCAGTCTTTCATAAATAATCAGCTTGCAATCTTTTGACTGCAGGTTTCTAGATGTGATAGAAAGGAATAGAACGGCAAGGAAACTGTTCCTGTAGTTTTTGTTTTTTTTAATTACAGGTGGGATTATATGTAACACGATGGGATTATATATAAGAAATTTATTAAAACTGTTATCTCCGTAAGTATCTTCGCTTATCTTCACCATATTTTTTTCCTGAAACGACTTCCCTATAAGCTACACATTTGCAACATGTTTTTAATTTGTTTGCTGCATCTTACTCTCAATTATTAGGTTCCAACCTTATTTGGACATCTAACAAGCTTGCCATTTTTTCGTAGGGTTTGTCTCTCAAACACTGGGGCCACTATCATCCAATGAAGCTGACTGGAAAGAGAAAACTCCTTATGAGTTTGGCTACGAGCAGAAGGTTCACGTATCATGAGTGCTGATCTGAACAAGCACCATGGAGGCAAGGATGGGGTCTTGCTCTGCAAAACACAGCTATAGTTATGCTGACCCTCTGCAACTTATGATTAAACAATAAGTTATAAGGGAACTTTTTTTAAAAGCAACTTAACTATTAACTAGGAATGAATGAATCAGGCAATTCAGACGCTCCAGTTAAAAGCTGCAACAGGAAGGGAGCCGCACTGCAAGGGACATTCCTCTGTGTCCAAGGTAAACACCAGGCTGCTGCCTGAGCAGTTGGACTGGGCTGGGCCGGGACAGGCAGCAAAGGACGGTGCTGACTCACTTGCTCCACATGCTCACACAGGTGCAGGTCGGGTGGGTGTGCTCAGCTTTCGACAGCTGCCAGAGGCAGGAACAGGGCACAGGAATGCAGCATCAGGCTCGCGCAGGAAAGCTGTATCCAACAGCAATCCTCAAAGCCAACAGAAATGAAAACTAATAATAATAATAATAATATCCAGTCTAAACATCTGGCTGAATGTGCAACCAACAATAATAGTAGCAGCTGATTTTGCCTGAACAGGAAACAGAAGCACTCAGCCAAAGAAGCTGAAGGAACACAGGTTAGGAAAGGAGGTCCCCAGTGTCTTTTCTGCTTTTCGTGCAGCTCTTGAAGATTCACGAGGTCATCACCAGAGGAAAATGGTACTCTATCTGGCATGCAGCAGAGATAAGGAAATGATCTCACAAGAGGAGGTAATATCCCATTTAGTGGCAATAATCTCCTCCCTTCAGGTTCAGAAGGGAAAAAAAAGTTTATTCTATTAAGGCAGGTCTGCAGCCCTCCATTCCAAATGCAGCCTTACCCACTGGTCCATCATGGCCATGATCAAGGTGCTAATGTTTCTGTTTCTTGAATCTGTGAAAGTAGAATTTTCAGTCCTAGGTGGCTGATTATATGATTTAGTTTAGTGAGTGAGTGCCTTAAAGGGCTTGCGTATTTGTGGGACTGCCTTTCTCCAATTGTTTCTGCCTGACCTATAAAATCAAACAGGGTTGCCATGCTTGGATCCCATCAATAAGGCAATGTCATTCTAGGAGACCAGGAGGAGTGCCTTCTTTGTATCTGCAGCTGCCTATTGGAACAGCATCCCCTCTGAAATCTATATGGCCTTGGCCATGCTGACCTTAAGCAGCATGTTAAAGAGCTGGCTCTTCCCACAGCAACTGAGTTACAAGTGATGTTGTGTGAACCTCTAACTGTGATGTAGTAGAAATTGCTGGTCCTTTTCAGTGTGATTGCTTTTTACTGTAACAAACCAAGTAACTATGAGGTACAAAGACCTACTTTACACAACACTAGAACTTGAGAAGGGGGACTAGATTTCATCAAGAATACATTCTTAGCCAGCAGCAAGTAAAATGTTAACTCCTCATCAGCTTTGCTGGGAGAGAAGCTTGCCACTTGTATTGGATTTAAGAGCAATCCTAACATTGCCTAAGAAAGGTCAAGCAGAAAGATAATTGATGTGTGAAGCCAGCCATTACAGTTTATAGGCTATGGTTTAAATATTTATTTATTTATGGCTGCAAATTTATATGGCTGCCCATCTTAATCAAATAATTCTGGGTGGTTAGGTGAGTGACAATGCATAAAAAGAAAAAAAGTCACCAGGTAAATATAACCAACTCCCCCATCAACCTGAAGCAAAACATACAAACGAAGCAGGCTCCAATAACTCCTGACCCTGAAGCCTGAGACAATTATCAATGAATCAGACCACTACGCTGATTTTAAGTGTGGTAAAAAACAAACCATGGGTGAATCCAGCCTTCCTCTAAATAATTTATTATCCTTGGGTTAAGGTAATGTGGTGCCCACAGAAATCTCATTTACCAGACTCCATGCTGCACCTAATTCTTGCTTTTTAAGGAGAAGGAGAAGGAGAAGGAGAAGGAGAAGGAGAAGGAGAAGGAGAAGGAGAAGGAGAAGGAGAAGGAGAAGGAGAAGGAGAAGATAACAATGAGAACTGGCTGTATTGGCCTTTTTTTTTATTTCCAAGAACTACTCTTGGCCCTCATAAAAATCATAAACATCTTAGAAACTAAACAAGTACTAGTGGTCACAGACCAATATTTTGTTTGGAAATATGTCCACCTGAACTCAACCCCCACCCTCACCTCCCAGGACACTGATAAAAGTAAGATTGGGTAGTAGAGAACATTCTGGGAGGATGGGGATCAGCCACACTTTTTTGCTTTCTCATTAATGGGTATCTTTTGACTATTCATGCCACCATGGCAGCCATTTTGGGAAAATGTCCCCCCAGATGCTTTCAAAATTTAAAATGTGCCCAGTGGTCCAAATTATTATGGTAGATTAAACATCTTTTACTTATGGGGAAAAGAAGTTTCTATAAGATTGGGTAGTAGAGAACATTCTGGGAGGATGGGGATCAGCCACACTTTTTTGCTTTCTCATTAATGGGTATCTTTTGACTATTCATGCCACCATGGCAGCCATTTTGGGAAAATGTCCCCCCAGATGCTTTCAAAATTTAAAATGTGCCCAGTGGTCCAAATTATTATGGTA